AACTCGGCGGAACTCGCGTACAACCATCTGAAGAGCCTGTATCAAGCAACAGACAGTGTAAACCAGAGCAGGTTAATGGCGCAGCTGACAACAGTTGAGATGAAACCAGGAGAGAAAGGAATGGCATATATCAGTCGATGTCGCGAACTGCGCGACAAGCTTCTTCGATGTGGAGGGTCCATCTCTGAAGACGCCTTCGTGACAGTCATCATCGGTGGCCTAGGTCCTCAGTGGCGCGCCACCAAAGCTATCCTCCGAGCCCACGGAAGAATCTCTGAAGCAGCACTCTGCGCCGAAATCCACGCCGAGCAACAGGATATGGACCTGCAAGAAGAACGACACAGAAAGAAGACGACAACCTCAGAGTTCGTCTTTCACACGCAACGACGACACAACAACTACAACAACCGACAACAACAACCAAAACCAGTACCTCCCTTCTGCCACATCTGCAAAACTTCAGGGCACCCGCGCACGCACTGCCCGAATCGTCAACAGTCAACGACCCCGCAACGACACCTTCGACCCTCAAGCGGTCAAGTTGCGTCAACGCAAGCAAACCCAACGACCCAGATCCAAGCTTCAACGACCTCAACAGGACAACCTGCACAAGGAGCAAGAAACATCGTTAGCTGCATGGCAAGACTAAGCGAATCCTGCATTACCGAGTCACCACCTCATTACTCACCGGAAGAACAACTCGACAACGCCACACCTCGTCGCGAAGCACTTCAACCAAATCCGACATACGCCGCCATCGCCCAAAGCGAGCCATCCGGGAAGGATACATGGTTCCTGGACAGTTGCTGCGGACAACACATGTGTTCTTCAGGACGCTTCGTACAGCGAGAATATCAACTTCAACGTGAGGTCGTCATCACCGTCGCCAATAATCAGAACCTGCGCACACGACGACAAGGAATTGTACAACTTCAGTCACGGGAGACAAACGTCATTCTGCAAATGTCCAAGGTTTTAATCGCAGAAGGCCTTGGCTACAACTTACTAAGCGTCAGTCAACTGATGGCGAAGGGAATTCACCTCGAAGCAGACAGCACGACCCAGGAATTCAAGCTATACCACGGGAGAGGAGGTCTTTACATCGGAAAAGCAGTCCTCAAGAACAACGTCTTCGTCTTGGACTTCGTTCCTGATCTCGGTACCGCTGACAGCGACGCCATAGTCAACTTCACCAACTGGACACACCCTCCAGATCTTGATCCTGACTTCAGTACAGGCGGCTTCTGGTATTCACATACCATTCCTGAAACAGAGAGAACAAGAGCATTAGCAACGATTCAACAATCGGCAGCAGCAGAGACAACGTCGGCAGCAGCAGAGACAACGTCGGCAGCAGCAGAGACAACGTCGGCAGCAGCAGAGACAACATCGGCAGCAGCAGAGACAACAACAGCAACAGCGACAACGACGACACCAGTCGCCGGTCCTTCAACGACGGCGTTCTTCAACGACGATGCACCACCAACACCTGCACAACAGCTTCAGCCAGCACCACGAGAATTTCATCACAGTCCCAACTTCACCACCGGTCTCTACTCCAACTCCGACATGTACCAGCGCTCACCCGGTCATCGCGCCAACGAAGAAATCTGGCACGCAAGAATGGGACACCCAAGCAACACTGTGCTAAATAACACGATTCGAGCAGGAGTACTCGACAAGGACTCTCTGCTTTTAACAGACGGACGAGAACTTCAACGAGCACGAGGGACTTGCTTCACCTGTCCTGAAGCTGACTTACCGCATCAACCCTTCGTCTCGCATCACAACCCAAGCGCACCTGCATATGCACCACTCGAGAAAGTATACAGCGACATCTTGTACAACCGCGAACCCGGACAAAACGCGTATAACTACACCATCACCTTCATCGACGCCGCTACACGCTACGTCTGGCACCTAAACTTACCAAGTCGCGACATGGCTTTCGAAGCTTTCGTGGCATGGCTTCCAGCAGCAGAACGGGAATCGGGAGCTAAGCTCAAAAGTTTCCAATCAGACGGAGGAGGAGAATACTCGTCACAGCGATTCAAGCAGTACCTGGCGGAGAAGGGAATCAAGAGACTCATCTCCCTTCCCTACGCCCATCAACAGCAGGGTGTAGCAGAAAGGATGAACAGGACTCTGCAGAACACCATGCGCAAACTGTTACGTGGCATGCGGCTACCCAACCACCAGTGGCCCGAAGCAATGGACCACGCCGTGATGCTGCACAACTTGCTTTCTTCGTCGTCACTCCCGAACAACACATCACCGCATCTGCTGTGGACAGGAAAACTGGGCAGCACAAAAATGTTACGAGTCTTCGGCTGCATGGTACAGTACCGACCCCCATCTGCACGAGCCGGCCGATTCTCTCAACGCGCACAGTGGGGACTACACCTGGGCATCGAAAAACATTACAACGCATGGAAAATCTTCGACATCCACACCAAAGAAACAGTAGCAGCACGTGATGTCATTTTCTACGAACGACTCACACTGCCAACATACCTTGCCAACCTGGACGAAAATCGAGACCCCACAGGCGGCTTCCGTGGCGATCGAGCCTTCGCTTCGGCAGAAGACGAAGCTGACTGGGACGAGCAGAATGTGGAAGGAGCCTCGGAAGAAGCCGGACCTCTTCCCTACTGCTCAGTGGACGTACCGATGGACGAAGAAAACCCTCGCGAAAGCGTCAACGCCGAAACTTACTACCACTTCGCCGACAACGGTTACGTTACACCCGCTGAAGTCAACACCAACGAAGCAGAACGCATAGGGCCCAACTTCGCACCCGATCCAGAAACTGGAGACGAGGCAGTCTATCCCGAGGACACCACACTCCCCCGCTACACACAGAGCGGACTCCAAATCCTTGGTCTCGTCACCGCGGTCCACGGCGTCAACATTCCTAAGGAGCCTGCGACAGTTCAGCAGGCTCTGGGGGGGGAGCATAAGGAAAAATGGCGTGAAGCCATGGACAAGGAGCTGAAGGCATTAGAGGAACGCAACACCTGGAAAGTCGTTCCCATCGGCGTAGCGCGAAACAAGACCATTCTTACCGGGAAATGGGTCTTCCGTGTGAAGACGAAGGCCGACGGCACCATCGACAAGTTCAAAGCGCGTTGGGTCGTTCGCGGCTTCGACCAGGAACATGGACGAGACTTCACCGAAACCTTCGCTCCGGTCAGCCGTCACACTTCACTTCGAATTCTTCTCGCGATCGCCGCCATGAAGAAGAAGAAACTACGCCAAATCGACGTCGCAAACGCTTTTCTCTACGCACCGGTCGATGCAGAGATTTTCGTGGAACTACCGCACGGCTCCAACACAAATTCCACGCACGTCTGCCAGCTACTAAAATCGCTCTACGGGATCAAACAGGCGCCGCGACTGTGGCAGCAGTACCTGCATACTCGCCTCATCCGCATCGGCTTCAAACAACTCCCGCACGATCAGGGCATGTACCGCCTCACGAAGAACAGCGACTACATCTTGCTAATTGTCTACGTGGACGATCTTCTCTACATCGGCTCTACCGACGGCATCACCACCTGGTTCGAAGGGGAGCTGCAGAAGGACCTCACCCTCACTGTCTCATCTACCGTCACACAGTATCTCGGACTTAACATTCGAGAAGATAACGACGCGATCTACCTCAGCGCCGAAAAGTACGCCGACACCATCGCCAAACGATTCGGAATTACGCCAGCCGCGATCTCAACACCATACCGCTACACGACAGGAGCCGATAAGGAATCTGCCCCACTTAAGCCCGCCGGCATACGCGACTATCAGAGGAAGCTAGGTTGCCTCCTCTTCGCAGCCGTCACTTGCCGACCCGACCTATCCTACTCCGCAAGCCAGCTCGCCACTCATCTCAAGAAGCCTGAAGCAGAACATCTGGCGGAACTTGACCGCGCTCTGCACTACTTTATCAGCACCGCGATGATCGGCCTAACTTATCACAAGAACGCAGCTACACCAACCAAGCTAATCGGCTACGTCGATGCCGATCACGCCGGCGACACTGACAACAGGCGCTCACGCACCGGCTATGTCTACCGCCTCGAGCCTATCGGTCCTATCTCCTGGCAGTCGAGCAAGCAGGAGTTAATTGCACTATCTTCAGCCGAAGCAGAATATATCGCGCTCTGCTCAGCCACCAAGGAGGGACTTTACCTTCGCGAGCTGCTGGAAGAAGCGAAGTTAGCCGAGTTACCCAACTTCACCGTGTTCTGCGACAACCAGTCAGCAATTCGTATCGCCAACAAGAACGGCTTCGCGAACAGGACGAAACACATCGCCCTGCGTTACTTCTTCGTAAAGGACGAGATCGAGAAAGGGAGACTCGAGCTATCGTACTGTCCCACGTCTGAGATGGCAGCTGACTACTTGACCAAGAAGCTTGGAAAACAAAAGTTCGAGTACTGCATGCTGCTGACTGGACAAAGCCACGTCATCAGCAGCGACACTCCAGAAGCGAAGGGGAGTGTTGGAAACAATAAAACTTAAGCGCTTCAGTCGTGTCGAAACACCGCACCAGAAGCGAGGCAAACTACACCGAAACACCCGCGAGTCAACCCTCGGAGGTTGAAAGAGGTTGCTGGAGGTTACGCGAAAGTCAAAGGTCAGCAACCTTTGACCCGACAAGTACAGCGCGACAGTTAAGGACATACAACTGACTCGTTACAGAGCAGTTGCCCGAGTCGTACTGTATCGAACCGCAACAGCAACAGTAAAAGTAGTTATAACTGTATCCTTTGATATTCCTTGCACTACTATATATTCTTGTACTTTCCTGTTATAATTAATCTACTTTGCCCTCACATACTAGCGCAAGGTGGTTCACAATTTCTTCACTCAAAGCTTCCGCTATTACAATTGTTCTATCTAAAGTTCTCCCCTGAAAAGATCCTAAGGGGCTATCTCAGCCCAACACATTCAGCTAAAACAAAAAGGCTTCTAACATAGCCCCCTGTAAATATCAGTCCTAATCAAGCACGATTGAAGCCTAAAATGTTCGCCGCAATTTGTCGAGCCGACAACCGGGAACCAACTAACCCTGCTGCTCCTGCTGGTGCCATCACTGCTGCTACTAGCGATTGTGATGGTGTGAGGGTGGAGGGCGGGGAGTGGGAGTGGGCAGGAATGATGCGGGGGAAGAGAGAAAACGGGCGGCTGGGCACGTGGGCAGCGTTTGATGTCATGTTGTGGTGGTGGTTGCAGAGGAATGCTGTCGGCTGTGATGAGCTGGTGGGAGGGAGACAGAAGCGGAAGGGAGGGCAACGGGAGGGGATGAAAGGGGCAACACGGGGAGGCACGGTGAGACATGCGGAGGTACGGGGAGAGACGGGGAGACACGGGAACTCATGGGGAGACATGGAGAGAAAGGGTAATTTGTCATGTTGTGGTGGTAGGTGCAGTGGGATGCTTTCAGCAGTGACGAGCTGGTGGGGGGAAGACAGACGAGGAAGAGGGGGTGGGGGGAGGGGAGGGGAGGGGAGGGGAGGGGAGGGGAGGGGAGGGGAGGAACAGAGTGCGGGGTGTTAAGTGGAGGTGGTGGTGGTAGGTGCAGGGGGATGCTGATGGCTGTGTGAGCTGGTGGGGGGAAGACAGACGAGGAAGAGGCGCGGCGCAGGGAGGGGAGGGGAGGGGAAGAATGAACTGTGCTGGTTGTCAACAGGGGGGGGGGGGGGTGGTGAAGGGGCAACGGGAGGAGGGGGAACGGGGAGAAATGCGAAAAAGGGACAACGGGGGGCAGGGGGGGGAAGAGAAGGCTGTTGAAGGTGATTGGAAAGGGGAAGCGGAGGTCGAGGTGAGGGAAGGTAAAAGGGGAGGGGGGGAAAGGGAAAGAGGAAGGGAAACGGAACGAGGATGTGGAAAGAAATGAATCGAGTATGAGAAACAGGAGCAAGGAGGCGAGAGCGAATAGACGAGGGGAACAGAATCTGTTTTTGAGAATACAAAAAAAAAAAAAAAAAAAAAAAAAATCCAGCAAGGAGGCGAGAGGGAATAGACGAGGGGGACAGAAGGCACTCGGCAGCCAAGCAAGCAGAGAAGCAACGGAGGGACTAAAAGAAGCATGCCACGTGTCAGCCTGTGAGGCCAGGAGCACTCAACGCAGACCTAACGAGCATGACTACTCATGTTGTGACATCTCCCAAAAAATAGAAAAGGATCAAATTCGAAGCACTCGTGTTCTCTTCTGACTCTCTACGAAGCATCGCCTTCTCATTTCCACCGATGCGAATTTCCCTCGTCAAAGCAAAACCAACACGCGGCTATCTGCTAAGCGCTCCTGTCAGCGCACCTTTTTGAGGCGCCTCAAAAATCTGCCAGCGCTCCTGTCAGCTAAACGGCCTTGTCTGGCAACAGGTAACGTGTTACCAGATAGCCAATCGGACCGCGCTGCTCATTGTGCGTCAAGCTCACGGCGTAACGTCACGTGTTGGTCACTTCGTATGCGCCCTACCTCTCGCTACGATGACACCTCCCCTTACTGCGCGGCACAGGTCGCACAGGTCGCACAGGTCGCACAGATCGCACGGCTCGCGATCTAGACGACACTCGAGTCAGCGGTCTCGCTGTGAAACGCACCTGTCGGCAATATCGGTGTGAAACCCCTGCCGCTGCTTGTGCTTTGGGTTTGTCGCGCACACCACGTACACCCGCCCTCGCCGCCGCACCACGCGGCACGCCTCGCACAGCCGTTTCACCGACGCGCGAACCTTCATCGCGACACGCGCGCGCTGCGGCTGCTGCTGCTGCTGCGTACCCTGCTCTGCAGCTAATCGCGCTGCGAGAGACGAACTTGACGCACTAATCGTGATGATCCAGCCCGAGCTATGTGGCACTGCTGTTGCTGCAGCGAGCGTGCCGCTATAAGCAGGGAGAACGGGAACAAAATCTCTGTTATGACAATCAAGTGTACGCTTGTGATACATATACGGTATATTCAAATACTGGAACGTAGACCTCAAGCCAGATGATTTGCTATTTTCTATACAGGCAATTTCAAGCATTCTAGAAAACGGCCGTTCTAGTGAATAGCAAGTTTTTTTTTCACTGGACGACACATCAAACCCCGACACAAAATTGCCTGGCACTAGCTTTTCCACCAGTGCCTGAAATTCAATGAGACTTTCTTTCCTGAGTTGAATCCAGCACAATCAATCCTACCGGTACGTGCTTGCTCTCCTGGGCTCTATTCAGCTTCTAACAATCCAACAATAGAGACTTCCTACCTGCCTCCTAACGAGGCAAATTCCATCTCTAATCATTGAATCTGCTGAGGTGATTCGCCCAGACGACAAATCGAACTAGGGGTTATGAGGCAGCATGCTTGCTCTGTGTGTGCTGCTTCAGGCCCTCTTCAGACTTGAACTTCCTGGGAGGCCACAGTGTGTGGAGGGAGACAGGAGGAGGGATGGAGAGGGAAGGAGGAGAGGGAGAGAGGGTGCTGAGGGAGGGAGGGAGGGAGGGAGGGAGGGAGGGAGGGAGGGGGGAAGGGGATGAGAAGGAAGAGAGTAGATCGGTGTGTGCTGCATCAGGTCCCTCTTCCAACACGGTGTTGGAGTTGGAAGGAAGCGTTGGAAGGGCCCTTTTCCTTCCAACACGGTGTTGGAGTTGGAAGGAAGAGTTGGAAGGGCCCTTTTCCTTCCAACACGGTGTTGGAGTTGGAAGAGTTGGAAGGGCCCTTTTCCTTCCAACACGGTGTTGGAGTTGGAAGGAAGAGTAGGAAGGGCCCTTTTCCTTCCAACACGGTGTTGGAGTTGGAAGGAAGAGTTGGAAGGGCCCTTTTCCTTCCAACACGGTGTTGGAGTTGGAAGGAAGAGTTGGAAGGGCCCTTTTCCTTCCAACACGGTGTTGGAGTTGGAAGGAAGAGTTGGAAGGGCCCTTTTCCTTCCAACACGGTGTTGGAGTTGGAAGGAAGAGTTGGAAGGGCCCTTTTCCTTCCAACACGGTGTTGGAGTTGGAAGGAAGAGTTGGAAGGGCCCTTTTCCTTCCAACACGGTGTGCGGAGGGAAGGAGGAAGAGTAAGAGGGAGGGGAGGAGAGGAGTAAAGGACCATCGAGTCCAGCACATTACAGGGGTCAGCATGAAGAAGCAGTTAGCCCAACAAGCTGACAGGCGTACTGGGGACCAAGGCACCCGGCAGGAACTGGAACTTGGTGCAACCAGGTGAGATGCCGTGTGGGAGTGAGAGTAAGACGCAGTGTGGGAGGCAATGAGAGGCAGCGAGAAAGGCACTCACTTGTTACATTTCTGGTTTTTGAGAATTCTCAAAAGGCACTCACTTGTTACATTTCTGGTTTTTGAGAATTCTCAAAAGGCACTCACTTGTTACATTTCTGGTTTTTGAGAATTCTCAAAAGGCACTCACTTGTTACATTTCTGGTTTTTGAGAATTCTCAAAAGGCACTCACTTGTTACATTTCTGGTTTTTGAGAATTCTCAAAAGGCACTCACTTGTTACATTTCTGGTTTTTGAGAATTCTCAAAAGGCACTCACTTGTTACATTTCTGGTTTTTGAGAATTCTCAAAAGGCACTCACTTGTTACATTTCTGGTTTTTGAGAATTCTCAAAAGGCACTCACTTGTTACATTTCTGGTTTTTGAGAATTCTCAAAAGGCACTCACTTGTTACATTTCTGGTTTTTGAGAATTCTCAAAAGGCACTCACTTGTTACATTTCTGGTTTTTGAGAATTCTCAAAAGGCACTCACTTGTTACATTTCTGGTTTTTGAGAATTCTCAAAAGGCACTCACTTGTTACATTTCTGGTTTTTGAGAATTCTCAAAAGGCACTCACTTGTTACATTTCTGGTTTTTGAGAATTCTCAAAAGGCACTCACTTGTTACATTTCTGGTTTTTGAGAATTCTCAAAAGGCACTCACTTGTTACATTTCTGGTTTTTGAGAATTCTCAAAAGGCACTCACTTGTTACATTTCTGGTTTTTGAGAATTCTCAAAAGGCACTCACTTGTTACATTTCTGGTTTTTGAGAATTCTCAAAAGGCACTCACTTGTTACATTTCTGGTTTTTGAGAATTCTCAAAAGGCACTCACTTGTTACATTTCTGGTTTTTGAGAATTCTCAAAAGGCACTCACTTGTTACATTTCTGGTTTTTGAGAATTCTCAAAAGGCACTCACTTGTTACATTTCTGGTTTTTGAGAATTCTCAAAAGGCACTCACTTGTTACATTTCTGGTTTTTGAGAATTCTCAAAAGGCACTCACTTGTTACATTTCTGGTTTTTGAGAATTCTCAAAAGGCACTCACTTGTTACATTTCTGGTTTTTGAGAATTCTCAAAAGGCACTCACTTGTTACATTTCTGGTTTTTGAGAATTCTCAAAAGGCACTCACTTGTTACATTTCTGGTTTTTGAGAATTCTCAAAAGGCACTCACTTGTTACATTTCTGGTTTTTGAGAATTCTCAAAAGGCACTCACTTGTTACATTTCTGGTTTTTGAGAATTCTCAAAAGGCACTCACTTGTTACATTTCTGGTTTTTGAGAATTCTCAAAAGGCACTCACTTGTTACATTTCTGGTTTTTGAGAATTCTCAAAAGGCACTCACTTGTTACATTTCTGGTTTTTGAGAATTCTCAAAAGGCACTCACTTGTTACATTTCTGGTTTTTGAGAATTCTCAAAAGGCACTCACTTGTTACATTTCTGGTTTTTGAGAATTCTCAAAAGGCACTCACTTGTTACATTTCTGGTTTTTGAGAATTCTCAAAAGGCACTCACTTGTTACATTTCTGGTTTTTGAGAATTCTCAAAAGGCACTCACTTGTTACATTTCTGGTTTTTGAGAATTCTCAAAAGGCACTCACTTGTTACATTTCTGGTTTTTGAGAATTCTCAAAAGGCACTCACTTGTTACATTTCTGGTTTTTGAGAATTCTCAAAAGGCACTCACTTGTTACATTTCTGGTTTTTGAGAATTCTCAAAAGGCACTCACTTGTTACATTTCTGGTTTTTGAGAATTCTCAAAAGGCACTCACTTGTTACATTTCTGGTTTTTGAGAATTCTCAAAAGGCACTCACTTGTTACATTTCTGGTTTTTGAGAATTCTCAAAAGGCACTCACTTGTTACATTTCTGGTTTTTGAGAATTCTCAAAAGGCACTCACTTGTTACATTTCTGGTTTTTGAGAATTCTCAAAAGGCACTCACTTGTTACATTTCTGGTTTTTGAGAATTCTCAAAAGGCACTCACTTGTTACATTTCTGGTTTTTGAGAATTCTCAAAAGGCACTCACTTGTTACATTTCTGGTTTTTGAGAATTCTCAAAAGGCACTCACTTGTTACATTTCTGGTTTTTGAGAATTCTCAAAAGGCACTCACTTGTTACATTTCTGGTTTTTGAGAATTCTCAAAAGGCACTCACTTGTTACATTTCTGGTTTTTGAGAATTCTCAAAAGGCACTCACTTGTTACATTTCTGGTTTTTGAGAATTCTCAAAAGGCACTCACTTGTTACATTTCTGGTTTTTGAGAATTCTCAAAAGGCACTCACTTGTTACATTTCTGGTTTTTGAGAATTCTCAAAAGGCACTCACTTGTTACATTTCTGGTTTTTGAGAATTCTCAAAAGGCACTCACTTGTTACATTTCTGGTTTTTGAGAATTCTCAAAAGGCACTCACTTGTTACATTTCTGGTTTTTGAGAATTCTCAAAAGGCACTCACTTGTTACATTTCTGGTTTTTGAGAATTCTCAAAAGGCACTCACTTGTTACATTTCTGGTTTTTGAGAATTCTCAAAAGGCACTCACTTGTTACATTTCTGGTTTTTGAGAATTCTCAAAAGGCACTCACTTGTTACATTTCTGGTTTTTGAGAATTCTCAAAAGGCACTCACTTGTTACATTTCTGGTTTTTGAGAATTCTCAAAAGGCACTCACTTGTTACATTTCTGGTTTTTGAGAATTCTCAAAAGGCACTCACTTGTTACATTTCTGGTTTTTGAGAATTCTCAAAAGGCACTCACTTGTTACATTTCTGGTTTTTGAGAATTCTCAAAAGGCACTCACTTGTTACATTTCCCGCACACCACACTCGCTTCAGGAGTTGCTGCCTTGGCCGCTTTAGCGGGCGTCGAACCGTCCTTGGCAGGAGTGCTGCTGCCTCCCTTCCCTGCCTTGGTTGCCTTCGCAGGAGTAGCTGCTTTAGCAGGGGCTGCTGCTTCCTTAGCAGGCGCGCCTGCCTTACCACCAGCAGGGGAGGCGGCAGGAGCAGCCTTGGCGAGAGCAGAGGCGGCTTTGGCTAGCGTGGCGCCGGGAGTGGGGGGGTTGGGCACTGGCTTTGCTGGGGTTGGGGCAGGGGCACGGGGCACTGGGGTGGTTGCTGGAGTGGTGGGCTGGGGGAAGGGGGGAGGGAGAGACAAGGGAGAAGGAAAAAACAAGAGAGGGAGGAGTCGAATGAGGGGATGCTGGTAGCTGGGGCTGCCTGAACAGGAGTTCCTGTTTTGCCACCAGCAGGGGAGGCGGTTGGAGCAGCCTTGGCGAGAGCAGAGGCGGCTTTGGCTAGCGTGGCGCCGGGAGTTGGGGGGTTGGGCACTGGCTTGGCTGGTGTGAGCGCCGGGGCACGGGGGACGGGCGTGGTTGCTGGTGTGGTGGGCTAGGGGAGGGGAGGGAGGGCGAGAAAGGGGCAGCATATGGAAAAACAAGATAGAGGAGGAGAAAGATGGGTTATTGCAGTGAAGAGCATAAGAGCAGAGGCGGCTTTGGCAAGGGTGGTGCCGGGAGTGGGCGGGTTGGGCACTGGCTTGGCTGGTGTGAGCGCCGGGGCACGTGGAACAGGGGTTGTTGCTGGCGTGGTGGGCTGGATGGGGTGGGAGGGTGGGGGGAGACAGTAGAGGGAGAAAATATGAGGAGGGTTGGGCACTTGCTTGGCTGGTGTGGGCGCCGGGGCATGTGGGACAGGCATGGTTGCTGGCGTGGTGAGATGGATGGGAATGGACAGAGAAGGGGAGACGGTAGTGGGAGGAAATATGGGTGGGGGGGTTGGGCACTGGCTTGGCTAGTGTGGGCGCCGGGGCACGGGGGACCGGTGTGGTCGCTGGCGTGGTGGGACGGGCTGGGGGATGGAAGATGGGGGTGGGGGGCAGGGCGGGATAAGACTCATTCTTGCATTATCATGAGACATGGGATGTGCAACGTGTATGAAGTTGGGATGTGCAACGTGTATGAAGTTGTGATGTGCAACGTGTATGAAGTTGTGATGTGCAACGTCTCAAAACCACTACTTCATACACGTGGCGGGGGGGGCGGGGTGGGATAAGACTCATTCTTGCAGGGACATGGAATGTGAGAAGCATTCACATGTACATCACATGCCTGTGCCAAAAGCACGTGCATTACATAACCATTCACATGATCTCATCAACTCATCTCACCATTGCCTTATCTTCCTTGCCCGGAGTACCCTCCTCCTTCCCCTTCTTCCCCTGTTTCTTCCCCTTCCCCTCCCCATCAACACGTTTCGCCAATCACACAAGACAACATGCCATGCACAGCCAATGCCTCACCTGTGCCTTATCTTCCTTGCCCGGGGTCCCCTCCTCCTTCCCCTTCTTCCCCTTTCTCCTCTTCCCCTTCCCCTCGCCTGCCTCTCCCCCTGGCGTCCCCTGTCCCCCTTGTCCCGTCTCCTTCTCACTGCCCTCGATCTCCCCTGCTTTCCTCTTCCCATCCACACCATTTGCACTCCCTCCCTTTGCCCCCTCTGCCCCCTTCGCATTGCCTCCCTTCGCCTCCTCTGATCCCTTAGCGCCCTCTGCCCCCTTGCTCCCTTCGCCTGCCTCTTTCTGGGCCTTCTTCTTCTCTTCCTGCGCTGCTGTGAGCTTTGCCAGCACTGCTGCTGCCTTCTGGGCCTTCTTCGCTTCTGTGGTCAGGGAGAGACGGGGTGGGGGAGAAAAGAAGAAAGAGGACGATAATTGGAGGGGAGGAGAGGGATATCTTCATGTGCTGCTGTGAGCTTTGCCAGCACTGCTGCTGCCTTCTGGGCCTTCTTCGCTTCTGTGGTCAGGGAGAGACGGGGTGGGGGAGAAGAGAAGAAAGAGGACGATAATTGGAGGGGAGGAGAGGGATATCTTCATGTGCTGCTGTGAGCTTTGCCAGCACTGCTGCTGCCTTCTGGGCCTTCTTCGCTTCTGTGGTCAGGGAGAGACGGGGTGGGGGAGAAGAGAAGAAAGAGGACGATAATTGGAGGGGAGGAGAGGGATATCTTCATGTGCTGCTGTGAGCTTTGCCAGCACTGCTACTGCCTTCTGAGCCTTCTTCGCTTCTGCAATTGGGGATGGAGGGGGAGAGGCGTTATGAGAAGGTGGGCGCACGAGAGACAGTGCTGCTCTTGCTGCTGCTGTGAGCGTTGCCAGCATTGCTGCTGCCTTCTTACTTAGCCTTCTTCGCTTCTGCAATCGACAAGAAGAAATGAATCTGAGAGGAAAAGGAGCGGGGGGAAGTTATGAGGAGGCGAGGTTAGACGCGACGGTGCTGCTGCTGCTGCTGCTGCTGCTGCTGCTGTTAAGGCTGCCAGCATTACTGCTGCCTTCTTAGCCTTCTAAGAAGAACAAGAAATACAGGGAAACACCTGGACTGACGCAATTACGTCACCTAGGTTGACACAATACTACCTTTCCTTTGCCTAAGCGTTTTTCTGCTACTGCAGCCCTTCGACCATGAGTTTGGTTGACACAATACTACCTTTCCGTGCAATGCTCTAGATGGACACCTGGACAGCTCCGCCTGAAACGCTGATGACGCTTCTTTTCCTTTGTGCACTGCTGCATCCTGCACTGCTGTCTCTCTGCGCGATGGTATCAAACACAGCCCCCTCAGACCCACTCACATCCAGACGTTTGGCTCACTCTTTGTGGCTAGCTCCGCCTGCAGTGCTGCAATCTCCTTTGCCGCCTCCTCCTCCTCTCCTGTGCTGCATTCTCAAATACCTATCAAGGAGACTAACAATCACAACTCCCTTGAAATCAACTCACTCTTTGTGGCTAACTCCGCCTGCAGTGCTGCAATCTCCTTTGCCACCTTCCTCTCAATCGCCTCCTCATCCTCTTCTTCTTCCTCCTCCTCCTCCTCGTCCTCTTCAACATCAGCAAACGGGTCCTCTTCGGCCTCTATGATCCCAGGGAAAAAAACAAACAAACAAACAAACAAACAAGCAAACAAACAAACAAACAAACAAACAAACAAACAAACAAACAAGAAAAAAAAAAAAACAAAACAAAACAAAACAAACAAACAAACAAACAAACAAACAAACAAACAAACAAACAAACAAACAAGCAAAACAAACAAAAAACACCCAGAAAAAATTATCCATGAAAGCTGGTTCAGTAACAAAGTAGCCAGCCTATAAGGTTCAATGGCACGTGACACGTGTCAAAACATCACGTACTCCTATAATCCCTTGTACCGGCTCAGAGACAGACTTCCTGTTGCAATGAGCCACAGTGAAGCACCATCCACACCACAACACACCACACCACACCACACCACACCACACCACACCACACCGCACTGCACCGCGACACTGACCACAAAACACTGGAATGACAAGGCACACAACAGACAGACCAGCCAGCATGCACATCATACCCACCCCTGTGGTGTTTAACCATCATACCCCTTACCTCCCCCATTTGGATATTCCTGCATTGTCTTGTATTTCAGAAACACCCTCCCCGTGCCGCCATACGCCAAAGATAACGCCTGGTCCCTTACCCCCACCCCACCTCCCATCCCTTCCTTTCCCCATAGACGGTACATGGGTTCTTAGGCCTGTGCCTTACCTCCCCCATCTGGATACTCCTGCATGGTCTTGTATCCGCTCAGAAACACACTCCCCGTGCCGCCGTGTGCGAGCGAAAACGGACGCTCCAACACCAACTGCACCCTCGCCTGGTCCTTCTCCCCTGCTTGGAGCACCGCCACCACCGCACTGAACCCCTCTGCACTCCCCTTGCTCTTCTCGTCACCATTCCCCATCTGCTCATCCTCCTCCTCGTCGTCACTATCATCATCCTCAGCAGGTGGGGCGGTGGTAATCGTGACGGCCACTCGCTCTCCCGCTTTGGCAGAAGCACCCAGGGCAACCTGAAAGAGAGAGGAGAGAAGATGGAGAGAGAGAGGGGAAACAGCGAGGAGAGGGAATGACAGCGAGTGTCAGCAGGAGGGGCGGTGGTGATTGTGACGGCCACTCGCTCGCCTGCTTTGGGGGCGGGGCCTAGAGCGACCTGCGAGGGGGAGATGAATGAGAATGGATACAAGGGAAGATGCAAGTGTTGACTCATCAGCAGGTGGGGCGGTGGTGATTGTGACGGCCACTCGCTCGCCTGCTTTTGCAGAAGGGCCTAGACCGACCTGCGAGAGAGGGGCCTAGACCGAACTGCGAGAGAGGGGGAGACAGTTTGAGGGAGACCTTGATGAGAGGAAATGACAGAGAGTATCATCGCGTGGGGAAGTGCATTGTGACGGCCACTCGCTCGCCTGCTTTGACAGAAGCACCCAGGGCAACCTGCAAGAGAGAAGATGGAGAGAGTGGGAAATCAATGAGGAGAGGGCATGACAGCGAGCATCAGCAGGTGGGGTGGAGGCGAGTGAGATGGCCACTCGCTCGCCTGCCTTGGCAGAAGCACCCAGGGCGACCTGAGAGAGGGAGGAAGACAGAGGGGTGATTGTGACGGCTCCCAGGGCAAACTGAGTGGGACTGCTCTTCCTCCTCCTCGTCACTAGCATCATCCTCGGCGGGTGGGGCGGTGGTAATTGTGATGGCTACTCGCTCTCCTGCCTTGGAAGGGGCAACCTAAAAGAGAGAAGAGAGAAGATGGAGAGAGTGGGGGAAACAGTGAGGAGAGGGAATGACAGCAAGTGTCAGCAGGTGGGGCAGTGGTGATTGTGATGGCCACTCGCTCGCCTGCTTTGGCGGAAGCACCCAGGGCAACCTGAGAAAGAGAGAAAGGGCGAGACAGAGGGGAGACAGCGGCTAGACTTCCAGGGTTCAGGGTTTTGCGTCAAAGTCTATGCAAAAACCACTTGCAATTTCAGTTGTAGCAATTGTAGCACCACCCAAGTCCACGTCTGTATGTCAAGCCTTGAATCTCTGGTTCATTTTTGAGAATTATAAAAAAAAAACCTGCAGATTCCAATTTCGGTTGTAACACCACAAAGCCCACGTCTGTATTTCAAGTCTTGAGTCTCTGGTTCAGTGCTACGCATCATGGCCTTTCCAGGACTTTTGACTCGACTCAAAACTCACCTTGTTACTATGCAATGGCACATTTTTAGTTGGCTCAAAAGTCACCTGGTTTCTGGGTCAGTGCTACATATCGTGGCCTTTCCGAGGCTGGAAATGAGGGTTCCCCCCCTCCGCACTCTTATTTGTTGTTGAATGATTGCTGCGCTCGTGACATGCTACAGTGATTGCACGATACAGTACCCACCTGAGTGACGTGAACGTAGTACACAATACCCCGAAGGTCTACCTCCACCGTCTTGCCTGTATTTATTCACCCATGTGCTACAGTAACTTCGCGTTACAGTACCCACCTGGGAGATGTAAACATAGTCAGCAATATCACGAAAGTCCACCTCCACCGTCTCCCCTGCCTGCACTCACGTGCTACAGCAACTCCGCGTTACAGTACCCACCTGGGTGATGTGAACGTAATCCGCAATATCCCGAGGGTCCACCTCCACCGTCTCGCCTGTATTCACCCATGTGCTACAGTAACTTCGCGTTACAGTACCTACCTGGGTGATGTGAACGTAATCCGCAATATCCCGAGGGTCCACCTCCACCGTCTCCCCTGCCTTCACCTCCACGCCTGGTGGTGTTTGCATACGGGGGGGAAAGGGGAGAGGAGGGGGGGTGGCCGGGGGGAAGGGGAGAAGGGGGGGGGCCGGGGGGAAGGGTAAGGGGATGGAGGGGGAGAACAAGGGGGAGAAGATTGGTCCGAAGACTGTGAAAAGTAGAAGCAACATTGGCTCGCGAGGGGAAGTGGAGTAGGGGAGTGGAAAAAGAGTTAATCTCTGGCTACTCAATGGCACGCCGTGAATCCATAGGATCCGGCTCGTGGCGTTTGAGGCACAATAAGGGAGCATGTTGTCTGGTTACTCAGACGCGCGCCGATGGTATGAACGTTTTGGATTAGAAGCGCGCCGATGGTATGAACGATTCAGAGGCATCGGAACCTGTTCGCCGTGAATGCACACGTGCGGACGACTCAGATAGGTAATCCTGCTACATTTCGGTTACCGTTGTTTAGTTTAATTTATTCTCGTCTCAGAAGTTGAGTGGTGATTCTCACCCCAGAAACGCATTAGGACCGACATTGTGCGCGGTCCCGGTTACGAATCGGCTCGCCGCGTCCCGCTATGTAATCGCGACGCCGCTGTGCAGTGAGCACTGTAGCGAGGCCTCTCGCAACAAGAACAGGGTTACCCGCAGTGAAAAGGCGCTAGGAATCGGGCACCGTTGCAATGGCAGGAAAGATCAGGATCCCGAGCGAGGCTTTCTCGGGATGCTAAACGGGATTGGCGCAAATTTACGAGTGCGACGCCGAGAAAAGCGGCGGCTGTGCAAGCGGCGGGGTAGAACGTGCGAGTGAGTATGCGGTTTTGACAGGCAGAAGGCGCAGCGGCAACAGGAGATAAGCAACGATGATAGGACGGAAGAATCTCCAACCAAATATGAGGAATCTTGGCGGGAACAGAAAAACCTGAGCGAACTCGACCAAAGCCTTGGGAAGGCCAAAGCTGGGGGTTCTGGGTGTTGGGCGTTGGAGATTGTTGTTGCAAAGAAAAACGGGACGGGTTGTGCGAGTGCTGCGAATCGAGAAGTCTCGTTGGGGTGGAAGTCGAAGCGGCTGATTGGATAACGAGGGCGAGAAGGAAATGTGTGTTCTTCGTCTGTAACCTAGATCTTCACTTTTGAACTGTTACGCTTGTTTCGTCAAACAGCTATTGTACTGTAGTAAGTTGTTAGCGAGGACATCCCGAGGGTGTCGCGACGAACCTGCGATGCCTATTTCGTCGCACCGAACCACCCCCGAGTCGGCCTCCGCTCCAATCGTGGCCATCACCGAGCCATCCCATCCCGAACCCCCCGCCTAGCTAGGATTTCCCCTATTTAGGCCTCGCTACTTCATTGTTCAATCATTCTGTAATTTCTCATTCTCGTTATTCGATATCCGCGCACTCTGACAAGTTCATTCATAACACCTGGTATCAGAGCTACTTTCCTAGCCTACCCCGCTTTTTAGAGTGTATTACCCCTCGGGGGGGGGGACGAGTAAGGATGCCTTGGGGTCCAGGAGTTGCGTAGGCCGGCCAAGAGAACTAGTTAGTTGCTCTTCGCGGCCATGGTTTTACGGGGCACTCCTTCGGCACCGCCAGATCCTTAGCTCGACGGTCGCGATCGACCATGACCTCCCTCCCCCCGGGCGACGGGCAGCAGTAGCTGTCGCGACATTAAAGTGAGTAATTTCCGCTGCGATTTCCGACGATTTCGGAGCTTGATTCGTGTGGCAGCCTGCGTCAGCGGACCTGCGTCGGCACCTGCACGAACAGCATCGACGTCGTCATCACGAGTGGCAGCTGGCGTTGGCGGATCTGCGTCAACAGTTGCGCGAAGATTTCGGAGTCGTCCCTACGCGGCAAGTGACGTCGATGGCAAGCCGTCATCTTGTGCGCGAGATTCTCGGGAGAATCTTCGGCAGCTGGCGACAACGGGCCTGCGTCAGCATGGGCGACAATTTCGGAGGTTTCTACTGTGAAGAAAAGGGCAGCTCGAAGGACTCGCCAGGCGCAAATGGAGTTTTGCGTCAGAGGATCCCGACGGCTGGAGAGATAGACGCTCAAGCCGCCCGAATTATGCGGGGGTTGAGTTTTATCCCGTCCGACCGGATAGTGCGGCGCTTACCGTACTGGCGGGCGAGTCGTCGACGATTTTCGGCAGAAGTGCTTGTGGACAGACGGGAACTTTGGACCCGCCGACACTTACGGGCTGCAACAGACAACGACGTGGCTAAATCGCACTTAGCAGGAGTGGGGCGCAGGCGCGAGGGCATATCGGGACTGAACACCCGAGAAATACTCGTTTGTTGCTGCGTGCCTGGAGCTGCTTGCCAGCTGTTCGACAGTTTCGAGATCGGTTTCCCCGTTCAAGGAAGCCGTTTTCGGGGACAGCCGCAACAGCCCACGATTAAACGGTGTTCAACGTGCCACCCCGACAATTTCGGAGTGTGGTGCAGGCCGCCGGGACACGCGTGAAGAAACTGCCCAACGGCTAAGCGGGGGTTGAAGAACGTCGTGGGGAGCAGATAAAAGCCGGTGGAACCGATCTGCGGCCCTACTTCGCCCGAACCTCACCATCCCCACCGATTACTGGTTCCGACTCATGCAGTCGACCTTATTCGGATGAATAACGGGGGTGAACACGAGCCTACCCTGCGCTGGTTAAAAGCACCTGGTTTGGTGCCCGTTCGACAGCTGTACAGAAAAGACAAAAAAGGGGAGTTGCGGCACTGTTCTACTCCGACAAAAGCGGGCTGGGTGAAACAGCACGCGAAAAAATCGGGGCGCCGCAGGACAACACTGGTGCAGTTTACAGGTTTCCTCTGACCCGGGCGTCTACACGAGGTGACGGCGCAGCGGCGAAGCTGGGACCGGAAGCTGTGGAATTTTAGTGGCGCGACGGGCACGGTGGGCTGCGAAGCGGTTGGGACTGATTTCCTTTTAACTAAGGCAACCCCGACTCCGATAGTCTTTTCTTCTCCACCGTGGCTGGGGTTCGCGCAGGGCAACACCGACAATACCCCATCCGACAAAAGCGGACGCTGGGTGAACGGCGGGAAGTGGAATGTTCGGGGGGTGAAACGACAAAAAAAGATATGAAGCTGAGGGTGTTTCTTCGTTTCTTGGAGTGCGGTTGAGTCGCTGGGGGACTTCGCCTGAAGGGCGCTTTTCGAAGTTGCCTGGCAAGAAACACAGCGGCAAGGATTCCTAGGACCCTTGGTGTTTAAACGCACACCTCGGGAAATTCTTCAAAAAAGGGAAGCGTGGGAGCAGTCGTAGCTTCGGGAACTTATCGGCCGGCGACGAGCGATGGGTGAAACATCTGCAAAGCGCTGGTGGGAGAAACAGGGAGTTTTTGTTAAACGACATCGGCGGGAGCAGCTTCGACTACGGAGGTCAACGGCGTTGATGCCTCTAGGTTCCGTGAAATTCGGTCTCGGAAGACCCAGGGCAGTCCCCGGTTCTCGATTTAACCCACATGCTGGGGTCGGGTAAACCGAAGGAAACTGATGGTGACCGAGTGGGCGGCTATAGCACGACCGAAGATTTCGGAGGCGAACTGCAACTGCAACGGCGAATTTTACGGGGTTGTTTTTGAGCGAAATTTTCGGAGTTTTACGTGGGGACTTACAGGTTTACGGCGGGAAGCGCCGACAATTTCGGAAGACTTTTCGGGGTTTTGGTTAAACGCACGCGAAATTTACGCAGGGCAACGGCGCGGGAACTACACGGACTTTTCAAGGGGTATGAACGACTTACGACGAACTGGAGGAGGCGGCAGCAACAGTGGAAGGGGGGAGAGACAGCTGTAATTTTTACATCTCTGCCCGGGAGTCATCGGCGGATTGCGACAACATGCTCGGCGAGTATGGACAAACCCGCCGGAGGTGCTGACATCATCTGACACTGATTCGTGTTCGACAATATTTTTCGGAGTGACATTCGCTACGGTTACTGCTTCGACGACCATCGCCGACTCTCGATAAACAACTTCGCCTTTAATCGCCTTCAATCGCCGACTTCGACGACACTCGTAACACTCCTGATTTCACGGCCAGAGGTTTTCAGGACGGTTCCATTCCGACTCTACTAGCGACAAACCCATCCACTCGACCCGCCCACGACAACTGCATTGATTTCAACCACGTCAGGTGCTGCCAGTTGCAACTGCTGCAGATACTGCACGATTCTGGCGACGTGAAGACAAAAAGCTTCAGTTCGAGTACTTGGCAACTTTGGTTTCGGTTTCTGGTCTACTTCTGCGAGTTCGCCCTCGAAGATTTTATGGGCACGTAATACCTGGTTTCGTCATCAGAATTTCCACACCGACGCAACTTCACCCGGCATTCTTCGCTCAACGGCTTTCTTCGTGGGACTTAACACCTGGATTTTGTGTGTTTTCATCTCGGCGCAGCTGCGGGAACTTTTATGGTGTCATTTTCTTGGAGGGGGGGAGAAAGTGCTTTGCACTGTTTTCTTCCTTGGCGTTTTCTTGGTCCTTTTCTGACTTTGTCAGGTTGCGTCAGCACGACGGACGATTGCGATCGCACCGACACAATCTACGGTTCCTGCTCAATCGCGTTTGAATTCGCGTCAGCTGGTTCCCTCCACATCCGCGTCACCGTCAACCGTCAGATCGACATTTGAAATCATCAGCGGTCAACGCGAGCTCTGACCGTCCGATCAACATCTGCTCGATCAACGGCTCTGTTTCCAACCTTCAATTCGAATTGGTCCACTTCATCTTCGACCGTCAGATCGAGACCTGACTACATCAACGGCCTACATTCCAACTTTTTCAAAAATATCGCCCAAGGGATTTCAGCCGTCGGATTCAGCTGAAAGGGAGATCAACGGCGTACTCATTACGGAAGGCTTCGGTCTACATACAGGGAGGGCTTATTTGGAAGGTGGGAGAGTGTAAGGAATTAGAATTCCTTACTGTAGTAAGTTGTTAGCGAGGACATCCCGAGGGTGTCGCGACGAACCTGCGATGCCTATTTCGTCGCACCGAACCACCCCCGAGTCGGCCTCCGCTCCAATCGTGGCCATCACCGAGCCATCCCATCCCGAACCCCCCGCCTAGCTAGGTTTTCCCCTATTTAGGCCTCGCTACTTCATTGTTCAATCATTCTGTAATTTCTCATTCTCGTTATTCGATATCCGCGCACTCTGACAAGTTCTTTCATAACAGCTATTCCCAGGGGACAATAAACACCATAGTCAAATCATTTTTTTTTTCTCAGTCTAATCGTTAATTTATGCTGCCATCAATTGGTGGGTGACAATGAGCTCACCACATACCAGACTAGTACATTTCTAATCTCTTAATGAATCCATATTGATAATAGGATGAATTGGTGATTATGCCTCTCGGTGATTACCGTATCTGGTGCGAGGGGAAAGAACTGCCTCAACTAGCAATCAGCTACAACTACATCACATATCATTGTAATGCTTGCACCGCACATGCTTGTAGTGTTTATGTTTTGTATCCAGCGCTGGCTTCTATAAGCGATCGAACTCTCGATTTGTGATCACCCTGCAAGCACACCCTTTGCTTCCGAACCGCATATCCATCAATACAAGCACCTTCTCACCTACGGGCAATGCGGCTGAACAAGCAAAATTGCATATCAGCATATCACTCCTCACCCTCCGCTGTCTCCCAACCAAACCCAGTTGATCAGGTCAGGTTCCCCGAGCCTGGAAAGACCAGATCCCACTGCCCGGTAGGGGAGGTTAGGTGGCGGACGCGATGCGACTGAATGATTTTGTTGGTGGAATAAATTTTGTACGGAAAGGACGCGAGTCTTGTTTCCAACTCAAATGGGGTGGACGAAAGCAAGTCAGAAGCTTGCCCGACAAGCTGGATCTGAGCGTGAATCGGGTAAAATCAGAGCTACTGTACTTCTCTGAATACCCCTGTTTCTCGTCTGGTGCAGGGTGTTTGACCTTTGTCATCGTGACACGAAAAACCCTTGTGTAACACGCGCGCGGAGCATGGACGGTGATTGGGGACATGCGTTCGGTGAAAGTTCCTTACGAACGTTTTCAGTTGTAATTCGCGATTTGTTGGCGATATGAGCAAGCTGCTCGAACACATGACTGGCGAGCATCGCAGATGTGGTTACGCTCGCACATTTCAACCACTGAACTTGCGTGCCCGCATGCTTCCCAATTCCCTCGATTGATTTCACCCAACATTCAAACACGAAGCGGGGGGCGCTGTGCTTCCCAATTCCCTCGATTGATTTCACCAACATTCAATCCCACTAGCTGATCTCGCTCAACCTCCCAACATTGCTTTCACGTAGTGCTGCTAATTCTTATCAACGCCGTTGTTGGTTACGTCTGTCGCCATGGATCGCCTCGTGCGCCTCTCGATCTCATTCCTTGCTCTCCGCGCCGCTCTTAACGGCGTCAACGGCGAAGTCAGCTACAGCCAGAGTGGCCTCGACTGGGGGGTGAGTGCTTTGGTAGCACGCTTCCTTGATTCCTGCCCGTAAGAACCTAACGTCGCGTTATACACCGATACAATCCCGTATGCATTTCTTTGTTTCTTCTCCGTAGTCAGATCCGGATGTGAATACGCGGTATCTGACTCTTGTTTTCTTTTCGTTACGGGCAGGGACTGCCAGTCGTGACGGGTCGTACTGTCTATGTGTTCTTCTAATCAAAATCCTTCTTTCTTCAATCTGGCAGGGAGACTGCCAGTCGGGCGAGAAGCAGTCGCCGATCAACATCGTGATGGACGAGGCGGTGGAGGTCAGCGAGCCGGAGAAGTTTGTTCTCGAGTACGACACGTCAGCCACCACCGCGAGCATCGTCAACCACGGTTACACAGTTCGTAAGTCGTCGATCTCGCCCTACACGGTATGTTTGTTTTCCCGCAATTCTATTCTGTCACTGCCAGCGTCGTCAAACACGGTTACACAGTTCGTAAGTCTCGTGAAGCAGAGCTTTCTCGCTTTCGGAATTCTGGTTCGGTGTCATCCGTCATTTCCTTAATACTTGGTTGATTTGACGCTGTGCAGAGGTTGTTCCAAACCCAGAGAAGACTTACAAGCTTCACATCAGCAAAGGAACCTTCATTCTGAAACAGGTACGCATGCTTGTTTCTGCTCGCAAGTTGTTCATCATGTACATTTTGTTTTTACACCATTTTCAGCATGCACTGGATGCTTTCTACCGATTTCTTCATGTAGGTGTGTTAGTAGTTTAAACAGCAAAAAAAAAACTCATCCCTTTTCTCTTATTTCCAGGTGCACGTGCATTCGTTTTCGGAGCACGCAGTCAACGGGCTTTTCGCGGCCATGGAGGCGCATTTCGTGCACCAGCACGAGAACGACAACACCTCCCTCGCGGTGGTGGGGGTCATGATCAGGCTGCAGCGCCACGACGAGAAGTCCGACTGGATTGACGTGTGAGTGCTAAACACCTAAATGACTTTTGAGTCGGCTCAAAAGTAATCTTGAAAATGACAACTCCCTCCCACGACGATAAGTCCGGCCGACGCTTCTCCGTTTTCCCGACTCCATGTTCTCTCCTCTCCCCTCCATCTCGCAACCCTCATGTTCCGAAACTGATTCCCTTCTCCCACAGCTGGCAGAGCAAGGTACCAGCCGGGGTGGACACCAACACCACCATTGACGTTCCCGAGAACTTTTGGACGGAGATGATCGACACCTCCATGGGCTTCTGGCGCTACCACGGCTCGCTCACCTCGCCCGCCTGCAGCGAGATTGTCGAGTGGCACGTGCTGCGCAAGGCCAAGTTCCTCTCCGTTTCTCAGGTATGTTTTGAAGTGTGTCTCGAACTCCTGAATCACAATGTAGGATTAACTTATGCTGCTTTTACCTGTTACGGCTTGTTCATTGCTTTGGTTATCCTGCTTTGCTGAGGAGGCCGACCTTCATTGTTTAATTCCCCTCTTTCTTCTTTCTTCAAATCTGTTGTCAACAGGCCATCACATTTATGAACCTGATTGCGAAGCAGAACACGGAGCGCACTGACAACCGCCTTCCCGAACCCCTCAATGGCCGCACTGTCACTTCACGAATATCTCAGCTTAGGTGTGATATGGATGTTGTAGGAAATGGCATCTAGATGACAAATGATTTGGTCTGGTGTTGCTATATGGGTTGTTCTAGATTGATTGCGTTGTGAGAGTAATGTTTTTTATGGATGATTGTTTTCGCTGCCTGAAACTCAGGAAACTTGGCACTGCCTTAAGAATTATATAACCTTAGACCCTTTCGCAGAAGACTTCAATTGGTGTAGTCCTATTCGAGTGCAGGTACGTGTAGTGTGTACCTCTCCACAGTCCTACTCAATACAAGCACGTTCACACCACCGATGTTCGCCTCCCTCAGGCGATCTGGCATCCGGAATCGATCTCCGCCAGAAAACCGCACCCTGATTGCATCCCAGTTCAGGGAGCTGTGAGTGAACCAGCAAATTGGTGTTGCTGGTCCAACCACGTCAGGCGAGTGTTTTTGGCGCAGTTGTGGCTGGGGGAGAGGACAAAATGAATGGGGCGGAAAAAGGGGTAAAGTACGTTCCGCGCGATTCCCAAGGAATTTCGCTCCTGATCGCGCCCCCACCCCCCCCCCCCCCCCCGCCTTCCCCACCATCCCTCCCACACCACCACCTCGTCCCGCCACGTCCCCCTCTCCCCCACGTTCCCATCTTCCCCGGGAATCAGCGCAAGCACCAGCCGTATTTTCCCCCCATGTACTTCTTCAGGTCGGGCGCATGTTTCGGTGGCTTCATTGGCTCCGCCAGCGCGCATTTTATCCTTTTCGGAAAACCGCCTTCCAGCGCACATTCCCTTTACCTGAAATTCAGGTGAGATTCGGACTTCTCCCCGTCTCCCTCCGATCTGACCTTTCAGTGGTGCGATGGACGCATATAGCCGCTATCCCGGCACAGTTTTCGGCGGCGGAGCACATCACCCCCCAACGCGACTCGTCCCTCCACCACTCTCCGCCCATCCTTTTGTTCGCTGAAAATGGCAGAGAAAATTAGTAAAAGACGATTCACTTTCTCGATCTTCATCTGTTACCACCTTTCGCCTCGACCAGCTCTACATTACTACCACTCGCTCCTATTCAATAATTCGAGTGCGTAAGTGACGATGTCACCTTCTGCCACCATGGCCGTCGTGCGTCTCTCCCTCGCGCTCCTCGCGCTTCTCGCCGTCGTGGGCGCCGCCAATGCCGGTAGCGTCAGCTACAGCCAGAGCGGCCTCGACTGGGGGGTGAGTGCTGCGATTACATTCCCGACTGAATGAGAGGAGGGATTTTGCAACGAGCGCCTTACGCTGGTTTCTTGCGTTTCGATTTCTCAGCATATTTCAACAATTTCGCCGAACGGAAATTCTTCTCTAATCTTGCACCTCTTTCGATCGCACGCTGCTGTTCATTATGGCAGGGAGACTGCCAGTCGGGCGAGAAGCAGTCGCCGATCAACATCGTAATGGACGAGGCGGTGGAAGTGAGCGAGCCGGAGAAGTTCGTTCTCGAGTACGACTCCGCCGCCACCACCGCGAGCGTCATCAACAAGGGCTCCACCGTCCGTAAGTTTGCTGCCTCTTGAAAGTGTTCGCGAACCATTCGAACTGCTTGTTACAAGCCTCGGTTCGCTATTCGTTCGCTTAGATTCTTGGAATTAATCGGACATTTCTTCCTGTTGATCGCTTTGAACAGAGGTGGCTCCCAACCCGGACAAGACCTACAAGCTGCACATCAACAGCGGCACTTACAACCTCCTCCAGGTATGTCGAAGCCTCCTCCAGTGAATGCTCGGATGCTGAGCAGTGCACTTCCTTCCTCGCTCGTCCTCCCTTCAAATCCTCGCACTTCCTCAGAACATTCGACATTACCAGCGTCTCGTCTCGTCATGTTTTAGCCCACAGTCGCCCGCAATTTCTCGGAGCGCGTGCTAATGTTTCACCTCGTCACTTTGCTCACATCTATTTCCGCGGTTACATCTCCGTTCCCTCTCGGTCTCGGTGAATCCGGCTCTCGCCTTTGTACAAGAGAAGCTCATGCGCGTATACTCATCGTTTCTGCCCCACTCCGCCGCCTGTTCTCTCTCCTCCTCCCCGCGCGCAGATGCATGTGCACGCGTTCTCCGAGCACGCGGTGAACGGGATGCTGACGACCCTCTTTCCAATCCCCGCTTTTGAGTCGACTCAAAAAAACAGTTTTGAGTCGACTCAAAAAAACAGTTTTGAGTCGACTCAAAAAAACAGTTTTGAGTCGACTCAAAAAAACAGTTTTGAGTCGACTCAAAAAAACAGTTTTGAGTCGACTCAAAAAAACAGTTTTGAGTCGACTCAAAAAAACAGTTTTGAGTCGACTCAAAAAAACAGTTTTGAGTCGACTCAAAAAAACAGTTTTGAGTCGACTCAAAAACAGGTGAACGGGATGCTGACAACCCTCTTTCCAATCCCCGCTTTCTCCCTTTCTCTTTCTGCATCCCCCCTCCCCCCTCCCCCTCCCCGCGCGCAGATGCACGTGCACGCGTTTTCGGAGCACGCGGTGAACGGGCTGTTCGCGCCCATGGAGGCGCACTTCGTGCACGTGCACGAGAGCGACCCCTACCAGCTCGCCGTCGTCGGCGTCATGATCCGCCTGCAGCGCCACGACGAGGCCTCCGCCTGGATCGACACGTAAGTGCCCCACGAACGACCAATCCAGTACCAAAATCTTTTCTTTCGTCCATCTTTTGCGCTTCGCCTGGATCGACTGTGTTTGACATCAGTTAACTTCGCGTGCTCATATTTTCTAGTTGTTCTAGGAACGTGGCGTATCAGCTGTAGTGCCCTTGCTCACATTCCCTTTTCGACTGTCCTTTCCTTCCAAACGTCGTTCCTCAGCTGGCTGCCGAAGACTCCCGCTGATGTGAACGGCACGGCGACGATTGACATTCCTGACAACTTCTGGGCCGAGATGATCGACATGTCCATGGGCTTCTGGCGCTATCCCGGCTCGCTCACCACGCCTGACTGCAACGAGATCGTCGAGTGGCACGTCGTGCGCAAGGCCAAGTTCCTCTCCGTTGCCCAGGTGATTGCAACGAAATTGATCTACACATTGCTTTTGACATCCCTTATCTAGATTGCGTGTAAGCCTCACTCGCTGGTGCGTCTTGGTTTTCCATAACTTTTCTAAACCTGTCCCAATTTTCTTTCGGCCGCCCTGTGTTTTGCAGACTATCACTTTCATGAACATGCTGGCGAAGCAGAACACCGAGCGCACTGATAACCGCCTGCCCGAGCCCGTCAATGGCCGCACTGTTACCTACTACACCACCATCTCCTCTTAAAACACGTCCGGATTCAGCACTTCGTAAGTCTATGAAGTAGATTGAGAACATTGAAGTTGTGGGCTGGGTAATTTTTTCTGTTCATTGCCATGGACTGGCTGGTTCACCATTTATTTGGAAATACGTAGTAAGGGCGCGTGTCTTTTGGTGTAGACGTTCGGATTTTTTGTTGAACTTTTGCTGGTAACCTTATTCGTTAATTTCGCCAAAACATTCGCCAGGACGTCGTGTGTCCACGTACACTTCCGGCATCGGAAAATGTTGAGCCCCCAAGTTGAACCCTCATCAACAACAGGGTCGCCGCTAGCAGAATTTTTTTGTCTGTTTGCCTTATCTTCAGATCGGGTTTTTTGAATTTTCAGAAATTGGTTTTTTTTGTGATTTCTGATTGATCAGGAGTAGTTTTTGAGTTTATCTGATCAATCAGGTTCTTGTTTTTGTTTCATCTGATACCGAATCCAATTATGTAGGGGTGAATATGGGATTCGAGTTGTGAATGGGCGAATCTGACGCGCCAGGAGGCGAATCTGTTAGTGTCTGGGCGAATCTGCTAGTGTCAGGGGGCGAATCTGTGAGTGTCAGGGGGCGTATCTGCTGTGTCAGGGGCGAAATTGTTGTGACGGGGCCAATATGCTGTGTCAGGGTGACGGCGAATCTGCCGTGACGGGCCGAATTTGCTGTGAGAGGGTGATTCTGTTGTGACAGGTGAAGTCCGAATCAATTGCTCTCAGACATGAAATTCGTAAGTATCTGATACATCAGACACGGTAAAAAACAGAATCTGATGGATCAGACAGGCCCGAAGGGCCCGTCTGATCCATCAGGTGCCCTCTAATCCTAGCGACGACCCTGATCAACAAACAGGTTGGCACGAATGTGCGAGCGTGTGTCCACCTCACTTACAGCGACGATGCGAAGTCTGCGACGCTCGCAGCTAGCATCAGGGTGCTCGTCAGCGCGAGTCCCGGTGGCGCGATGTCAAGAGCCCAAACCGGGTAACCTACAAGCGTAGGTCGCGGCTCGGCTGGGCTGCAAAAGTTCAACTTCGATAGTTGAACTTTTGTTTGTCGCGTCAATTTCGGGAGGGGTGGAACCGCGGCTCGGTTTGCAGTTGGTGAAAACTCGAGCCTAGCTCGAGCTAGGTTCATATGACTACAGTTCAACAAAAAATTCGAGATTTGCATGTAAAAACCAAAAGACACGCGCCCTATAAAATCTTCCTTTTCGAACTTCCAGCGAGCTACTACGATTGAGATACGTACTTGCTCGGACGCCGCATTGGGTTAGCGGAGCAATCGGAAAGACTGACAGTTTGTGCCCTATCTTATTCGCTTCTGCGAGATGTTGCGAACCGAAGTTGGTTAGGCGATGGCGCGTTGAGCTGACCTGCTTTCCTCGCTACAGCATTCCATTGTCGCATGCGAAGTCTGATTGAGGGGACAAATTGCTCAGTTCTGGTTTCCCGATATCTTGCTCAGCTCAGGTTCCCCCGTCCCACCAGGTAGCCGGGTCCAGTCAGGTTGCTGTGTCAGGTGTAGTTGCTGCGTCGTGCTCGTGTCGGTCGCTTGCCCACCCCACCGTTCTGTGGCACCACCGGATGGGGCACCCGTCCCTTCCTCGTCTGCGCGCCATGTCCAGTCAGCGTCTTGTCTTAGGCCTCCCCCGAGTCCTCCCACCACTCCCGCCGTCCCCAGCTCCTCCGTGCGGTCCTTGTTGTCGAAGGAAATAGCCTCGCCCTCGCTTGAGCGTAGCTGATCTCGCCGCAAACGGGAAGTTCGCGACGGAGCGGTCGACGAAATGGGCTTCTGCAGTTCGGCGGAAGTTGCAGTCGAGCAGGTTCTGCTCGACGGAATCTGGTCGACGAGCTCTGCGCGATGAGCTCTGGTCGACGATCTCTGCGCGGTGAGCTTCCGTCGAAGAGCGCTGGTCGAAGAACTCTGGTCGAAGAGTTCTGGTCGAGAAGCTATGCGCGGCGAACGCTGTTCGACCGTGCAGAGTCGAGCTGATCGACCGAAAGCTGCAGAGTTGCGCGAAACTCTGCGAAGGCGTGCGAACATTCGCCCAGGAGATTTTGGCGAAGTTCTACCTGCGGAACGGCATCACGTGGTCGACGGCGCGCACCTGGCGAAACCGACGACACGTTTTCTACCTGGCACCTGCGCAATGTGCCTGACGGTGAAACCACCAACCTGCACCTACTTGGTAGGTGCGCACATCTGCGCAGATAGACAACCTGCGACCGTAGAAAGTTACCTGCGATTGCAGATAGTCACCTGCGACTGCAGTGCTGGCAGATCGCGCGCAGTGCAACGCTGGCAGGTCACTCTGCTGCAGCGTTGGCGAGCCGCTCTTCTGCTGCGCTGGCAGAGTTCGCCCTTGCTAGGAGTTCCATGCCATTCTAGTCCTTTTGTTTCTGTATGCCTCATTGTTGCTCTCTATTCTTTTCTTTTCCTATCAACTTTGTTAATGCACGTTGTTCTTTCCTTAGTGGAATTCTTGCCAAACTTCTCAGTGAACATAGCAAGCAGTAAGAACGTTAGCATAGCGCTACGATCACTCGCACAACCCCGTGCCCTCCTCCGTAGTCCACTCCCGTTGTGTAGCGACTCTCCGCATGGTGCGGTGAGCGTGGACGGCCCCGTGATAGAACCTTCAGATAGCCGACTGTGCGTTCATTACCTAAGTTGTAGTAGGCCGGCAACTATCTAGCCCGCCATGGTCGACCAAGAGGAGGTCGCTGCAGGCGTAGAGGATACCCTGCAGGCGCGGTTAGAAGACGTTCGGGCACGCCACGCAGCTGGCGAGTACGGCGGAGCAACCTTGGAGGTTATGCTCTTTGGAACCCGCGTGCAGTGGGCGCGCGAGCACCCAACGATCCGTACTGAGGCGGATGGACTGCCCGCCACTCCCCGACCGGCACGCAACGACGGTGGCGTCGACGATCAGGTCGACGGTGGCAACCAAGTCGGCAGCGACGGAGGCACGAGGATGACACGTGGAGTGATTTGGGCAGCCGATGGCGGCATCGGCGGAGTGCAGGCGCGCGCTCAGCGTTCGGCAGCGGCAGGAAGCTCGAACGGCAACAGTGACGGTCGACGACGTTCTCCTGAGCGGAGTGGAGTCGGGCCGACTTCGGCGATCCATGCGTCAACTGGTCGAGACGGAGGAATCGCGCCGTCGTATGGCTACTTCAAATTCTCGCCGGACAAAATCGTTGTGCCGAAGCCGCTCGAAGGTCGGCACGACCTGATCACGTGGACGGAGTCTATCGAACCGCAGCTGGAGATCGCCGGATTGAAGAGGTTCGTCGACGGAGACGTGTTGGCGCCGGACGAGGAGGAGGTCGAGCTCTGGTCGGAATTTCGCGCAGCTCAACTTCTGACGTTTATGGTCATTTCGAGGTGCTGCTCGCCGCTGGTGCAAGTCGCATTGAAGTCGTGCAGATTTCGGGTGGATGCTGGCTACCAAGCGTGGCAGTACATCATGCGCACCTACAAATCGACCGACGACCTATACATCGGCCAGCTGGAGCAGAAGTTGACGAACATCAAGATGGGCGACCAGGAGTCTGCAACCGAGTACTGCAACCGTGCTCGGCGGATTTTGGCCGAGCTGCGGATGGCTGGCGTCAGCTACTCTACAGCTTCCTACATTACGCACGTCCTCAAGGGTCTGCCGATGGGCTACAATTTGTTGCGCCGAATGTTGGCGATGCCTGGCGCGCGTGAAACGCTCAACGAGGACACGCTGTCGAGCCAGATCATCAACGACGAGTTCATGCAGGAGTCCGAGAGGTCCGCAGAACTGCTTCCGCAGGCCAACTACGTCTCCCCGGCGAAGCAGGGACGCCAGCAGGGGCAACGTGGAAAGTCTACCGGAGGCGGTGGCGGGAAGTCGTCGAACGCGAAATCGACGGAGGGCGTCGACCGCGGAAAATCGGCGAAAGGAGGAGATCGCGGCGGCGGTGGATCGCGTCGAGAAGGGCGCCGATGCTACATCTGCGATGCTCCCGACCACCTCTCGTACGACTGCCCCGACAGAGACGAGTCTGATGACGACCGAGGCGCCAACCGCAAGAAGGGCGAAGGTGGCCGTCGTCGTCGAGACAACCAGCCGCGCAAAGAGAAGCAGCCGTCGACGGCGACTTTGACGGATGTTGTGGCTCTGCGGACGATCGCGTCGGCGACGAAGTCTACCCCGGGCCAGCTGCATGCTCGCCTTGCGCACGTCGGCATCGACACGATCAAGAGCTCGGCGAAGCATGAGGTCGCCACCGGTCTGGACATCAAGAAGTCGACCGCTGACGATCTGCCGTGTGCCTCCTGCGTCGGTGGCAAGCTCGCGCGGCACACCTTTCCCGACAAAGGCGCAGATGCAGAGAACGCGCTCGATGTGGTGCACATCGATCTCTGCGGGCCGTTTCGCGTGGCCGCCACCGATGGCAGCCTCTACTTTCTTTTGCTGAAAGATAGGAAGACGCGCTACGTGTGGGTGAGGCCAATCGCGAAGAAGAGCGACGTGCTGGTCGTCTTCGCCAAATGGCTGAAGGAGGTGGAGCGGCAGACGTCGAAGACGGTGAAGAAGTTGCGCTCGGACCGCGGAGGGGAGTTCCTCGGTAGCGCCTTCACCGCCCTCGTCGAGGACAAGGGAATCCTCCACAACTTGACGTGCCCCTATACCCCCCAGCAGAACGGAATGGCGGAGCGGGAGATGCGCACGGTGGTCGAGGCCGTGCGTACAATGCTTCTTCACATGGGCGTGAAGCATCATTGGTGGCACCTCGCCCTGCGGCAGGCGGTGTGGGTGCGCAATTGCCTCGAGCGAGCTTCTCTGCCGAAAGGGACAACGCCGCACGAGCTGCTGTTCGGGCAGAAGCCGGATCTGACGCTGGCGCGCGTCTGGGGCTGCATGGTCCAGTTCATGGTCCCCGAGCAGCAGCGCGGCGGAAAGCTCGCTCCGAAGGCTCGTTGGGGTATTCACCTCGGCGTGTCGCCAGAGAG